AACTAACCAGACACATGGTGCCGCGATCATGTGGGTGTTTCTGCCTCTTCTCCCAACTTCACTTGGTGGCTCAGTCACTAGACTAGTGCTGTAAGGGCCACGTCACGAACTGGGATATACTTCGCAGTAACCTAAATGAGTGAATGTCAGGAGCTATTGTGACCAGTGGTTTAGATCAATTAAATTCATTCAAACTGCCACTCGATTATATCTGTTAAATTCATTCAAACTACAGTTTCCAATGCTATTCCAAGTTCTTGGGTAGACGAGTGATACCCCACACCTGATCTACAACTGCTAGACTAGTGGACAGAACCCTGTCATACAAAGACAGCTCCTTCTTTTTCACCAGATTCTTTTGCAGATAGATAGAACCTCGGCCGCATTTTCACAATAGCTAGTAGGCATGAGAAGCACATTTATAAAAGCTACCGCAAGCAAAGGTGTGCACTGCTTAAGACCTTACTTTACAGCTTATTCAACTTTGCGTTCCTTTCAGTTAATGAAGCGAACAGAACAAGTACCTAATTTGGTAGTACAGTGAAATCTTGGTATAACGAACTTCAGAGGGCCACGACAATTCGTTTGTTATTTCCAAAGGTTACCAACGTTACCATTCAGAGAAGACGGCATACAGGTCTGGGGAATTACGAGAGTATCTTACAGATCGACGTCAAGTTCATTCATGCAAACAGCGACCATTCAGCATCACCTCAAAACAGGTGTACACAATGAGCAGCAGAGAGTAGCTCAACTACTGGCCAAGTCATTCTATGTAGACGATTTGCTTTCTGGGGCAGATAATTTACAAGCAGCTGCAGAGCTATACACTACCACAAAGAAAATAATGAATGATCCTGGAATGCCACTCTGGAAATACACAACAAATTGTCAAGAGCTGCCAGACATATTCGACTCAATCTAGCTAGCTCTACCTAACAGCGGTGGACAAACATCATCCAATACAAAAGTCGTCGGAATAGCATGGAACATGCAGACTGACAGCCTTACAGCTCCCACAATATCTTGTCACTCCTGGAGAAGGCTTAAGATACAAAGCGCTTTTTTCTGCAAACAGTATCTAGAGTTTATGACCCACTGGGGCTCGTTTCTCCTTTCGTGGTACAAGGGAAGTTGTTATTTTAGCAGCTGTGGGTTCGTAAAGTCAACTGGGATGAAGAGCTGCCAGATGATATAGCAGGACAGTGGAAGAGCTGAAGAAGTGATTTGGTTCACCTTCCCAAAGTCGATGTTCCCCGATGTTCGAAGTCAGAGGCAGCTGATATTCGTGACAATCACGTATTCGTAGACTCCAGCATTAAAGCTTATAAAGCATGCATATATATTCGCACTGAGCTAGCTAACGGTGACATCACCACGAGTTTCATTGCTGCAAAATCAAGAATCGCCCCATTGAAGCTTCTCTCGTTGCCACGCCTCGAGCTAATGGGAGCACTAATAGGCAGCAGATTTCTGAAATATATAGAAGCATATGCCCCCTTTTTTGACAGACCACTTTCTTTTATGTGAACAGACCCTACAATTGTCTTGAATTGGACTTCAGCAGATTCATGCAAGCAAGAAGTCTTTGGTAAAAACAGAGTCACTGAAATCAAAGCAGTAATACAAATACAGAATTGTATCTGGCAGCATTTCCCAGATGACGGAAATCCTGCAGATTTGCTAACAAGAGGTGAATCACTGGATGTCTTGATACAAAATAATGTTTGGTGACAAGGACCAAGCTGGCTGCAGCTAAGTCCATCTGAATGGCCACAGAGGAAACTCTTAACCCCCGAGGAGGATCATGAAATAATTGACTCGGCACATACAGCCCTTCAAGTAGTTGACAAAACACATGAGCGGAGAGCACCAATCTTTGACGTAACACAGCTCAAACTGCCGAAAGTCACGGCGTGGGTACGACGCATCATATATAACACTAATACAAATTGCCTGAACTATGGATGCAAGAAGACCGAGGAAGTATTGGCAGCTGAGCGTTGATAGATACACGAAGTTCAAAGTGAAGCTTTTGGTGATAAAATGTTCGCTCTTCTTGAGAAGCAGATGCTACCTAAAAGTTCAATGGTGACTGACTTGTGACCATTTCTAGATAATGAAAACCTGCTAAGAATTGGTGGGCGACAACAAAAGCTCAATGAAAACCCCGGTATTGGTGCTGCCTGACAATCACAATTTCAAAATTCCCAAAAATCGAAATTCCCATGCTTTCACAATGCATGGAGGCGTAACCGCCATGCTAAACCACCTGAGAGAGCACTTCTAAGTTATACAAGCTCAGCGAACAGTGATACACCGTTGTGCGTTATGTGCTCGCTATAGAGGGAAGGCAAGCTCGCCGCCACAGGCTCCACTTATGACCTACAAGATTGAACAATCTAAGCCATTCGACACAACAGGAGTGGATTCCGCGAGCCCACTCTTTGCCAAAAAAGATAGATAATGCAACCAAAATGTACATTGTAATTTTTACTTGTGCATCAACAAGGGGGATACACTTGGAGTTGGTGACCGACATGATGGTGAAAGGCTTCCTGCTGGCATTCCGAAAATTTACTGCTAGGAGATAACTGTCCAGCATCATGTATGCAGCGTACGCCACGGCCACGCACTCGCAACCAGCCGCCGAAAAATATAGACTGCGGGAACTAACGCGGCAAAAGAAAAATGGCTGCTATGACGTCATCAGAACTTGTTTTGTAGACCGTAGCGTGGTGACGTGACGGAAGTAGGGGGTCACCTCGGGGTCCCCTCCGATGGTGTCTATAACACTATGGAGTCGGTCACTCATGCAAACTTCAATATGAATTTAAAATACCTTCCAAGCTATATTCGCTGTTGATATCTTGCAGATGATATACGAATGTTCACAAGAATCGACCCCACAGGCTATCTCGGCCCCGAAATTTTGTGTCAGTACCACTTTAAAACTTTTGCTTGGCTTCAGTTGGATTGAATCTCCAAGCAATAATAGTAGGCTTTATGCTTAAGAGATGGCGCCAGATGGCCCGTGCTATCATCATCAGTGGCTGGAATGAGCAGACAACATTATTGCGGCAATTTTTGGGGGTGCGGTAATTACTCACGAAAAAAAAAAAAAAGAAATCGTATTTTTGTTGGGCGATGTGGGGAGTGCGAGAATTATGCAAGAGCGATGATTACGTGAGTAGATATGGTAAATAGAAATTCATCGTGGACACTGCTCTATGGTGGGGCGGTTGGTGGAAAAAACTGATTCGATCGGTGAAGATGTCTGTGCGAAAAGTCCTCGAACGAAATATCCTTTCTGCTGAAGAACTCGGTAAGCTACTTACCGAGGTCGAGGCTGTGGTCAATTCTCGACCACTTACTTACGTCTAGTGGCTAAGGTACTCGGCTGCTGACCCGCAGGTCGCGGGTTCGATTCCCGGCTGCGGCGGCTGCATTTCCAATGGAGGCGGAAACGTTGTAGGCCCGTGTACTCAGATTTGGGTGCACGTTAAAGAACCCCAGGTGGTCAAAATTTCCGGAGCCCTCCACTACGGCGTCTCTCATAATCAAATGGTGGTTTTGGGACGTTAAACCCCACAAATCAATCAATCACTTACTTACGCCTGCCTCAAAACCAGTGAGCCATCAGCGATTACGCGAGCACATATCCTTATAGGCCAACAATTTACCGCTTTGCCAGATGTTGACTCTACAGAAGATTCAGGGAAATACAGCAGTGTGAAAAAATATTCACGCAGTTTACAACACCGCCAAATTTTGTTGGATCATTTAGAGACGTTGGGAGCAAGAGTACATTCTAACTTCATCATTGGTGCATCGTTCTACAGGATATCCTTCCCGCAACCTGGCAGACGGAGACATAGTGATTGTGGACACACCCAAAAAAGCGAAGTTTATGTGGCCTCTGGCAAGAATACCCAGGCAACGATGACATCGTTCGCGCTTGCCTCTTATGCCTGGGTAGCGGAAAAGTTTTGAAGAACCACACTAGGCACACTAGCGTATCTTATGCCAAATGGTGTTACATCAGTGTCTCTTACAAAATGGTTTTACTGTATTTTAAATAAACCCAACGCACCCAAATCGAATTGTGCCTTTCTAAACCATGACAACAATTGAAGGAATTGCTTAACTAAGGCCACTAATTACTACCAAATTAATCAGTTTGGGACATAATACAATATATGAATTACAGTGGGAAAGTACTAACCCCATTCAATCTCACTATGAAGATGACACTTCTCCCCAATTGCCCGCAGTACTTATGGCAAATTGCTCTCGTCAAGCGGGAGCAAGTTTTCTTGCTCCGTGGCAGAGAATCCGCGTTCCGCTGGTAGATTCGGAGCAACCCACTACGCGACGAAGTGTTCTGCGTGCTCCGTCTTACAGAGACGAATTTCACCGGAACTCCGAGAATGCGTTGCCATCATTTCTGGTACAGTCGGGTAACTAGGTCTAGTAACACTGTACACTTGTTTACATTCCTAAAATAACTGCTTTCCGTGGTTGAAATGCATGCTTTGCAGTGGGGACACAGTTGCCATTGAAACGTAGAGAGCGGAAAAGAAAATTGTTTCCGGTAAGGGTTTAGAGATGTATGCAAAAACAACTTCCGGAGGGATCTCACGCGGAGCATTCATGCATTCCACTCGCAGATATGGCTTGGCGAAGTCCGAGTGCTCGCTCCAGGATTTCAGCGGCTGCTCCGAATCTACCAGTGAAATTCCCCATTATAAATGTTTCATAACTGCCCAACAGAAAAGGTGAACACTGTTAAGTATGCGTCCCCTTGTAAAAGCCTGTGACTAAAGCCATACTAACTAGTGCACGTGCACTTCATCTAAGCTTTTCCATTAACAGTGGCTTTTGGATGTCAGAGCCATTCTCTAAAGGACTTGCAGATGGCTTTTCTTAGGGGAGGGCCAAGTTCAGCAGAGTGGTGAAGGCCTCTTTTAATGTTCTGTCTATGTAAAAACAAAACTTACATTTTTGTCCTTCTGCCATTGTTCAATTTGCAGACGCCTTCGAGTAATTATCTCCGCAGCTTCCAACGTCTGTAAGTCATAAAATGCAATGAACAAAAAACAGGACTTTTCTCCGAGGTGCTAGTTTCTTCGTTAGGCACAACCGAATAAATACAATAGATAATTAGGCTAAGGAAAGCGTTGGCAACGTTATTTATTACTCTTTACCAAGGGGTGGAAAAGGGCACATAAGCAGGGCACATAAGCAGGAAGCAGTCCTGGGAGCAGGCAAAAGTGCTTTTTGTGGCAGGCTTGGAGCAGCCACAAAGGCCTTTTTGAGCAAGTTTAGAGCAGTAAAAACATTCAGAACAGATTTAGCGCCGTTCAAAGCACTTTAATTGTGAAGCATCATTTGTTTAATGTTGTATTTTTCAAACACTCAGCTAAATTGTGCAATCACCTCATTATTACAAAGGGGTTATATGGGCACTCGTGACGTGTTTTGCTTTGTTGTGCTTACATCTACTGTAAAAAGTCCAAAATGACAACATACCCTTGCGCATCGTATTTCTACCTGGGGGTAAAAGCACGCAAGCGGGGGCAATGAACGCGGATGAAGCAGAGATGAAACCATCTGGCCCATCTCCACCGCTCGGAGGGCACGTGAGATAACATCGGATACATCCACCCGAGGAGCAGAGGAAGCACTCTCGCCCATCTTCGAATAACATGAAAAAACAAGAAAACTATGAACCATGTCCCCGAGGAAACCCTGCTGGGATGTGAAGCAGCAGCGGTGCGCACGGCGTTGACCCAGTTGAAACAGGCATCGACACGGGTGCTGAAAGAACTGTTTGAAGCGAACCTCGGTGTAGTGTTTACACGAGTAAACGTTCATTTGAAATGCAAAGACATAAGAAGCAGGACGCATTGAAGACGGTTGCGCTCGGCTTGCTTGGCTCGCGTCTCACCGGTGTTACCCACGTGCTGTCTGTATTCTCGAATGCGATAGGTGTTCTTGACTCGCACCTCGTCGGTGTCGCAGGCCTTCCACTGCAGACACTTGCGTTTGGCTTCCCTGGTTCGCACCCCGTCGATATTGACATTGCCACTCGCGAACGCGACCAGCTTTGCTGACCCTCGCAACAAGGGTGATACGCGGGAAAGGTACGCACACACTAGCGAGAAGCATGCCGCTGCAGGCGCGATCTAGCGGCCTGCAGCGGCGCGCTGTCCACATTGTTGGCGCCGCGAGATTCGCGAGGCGCGCCCAGTGCATGCACCTCCCGGCTTCTTCTTGCCGACAGATGGAGAGAGGTGGTGCAGGTGAGATGATGCCCACGTGAGGAGTGGGCTTGAGCGTTGCGAGTGGTAAAGAGGGTGAAGCAAGAGAGAGCTGATACGCAGCGTGCACGTGGCAGGTGAGGAAGAGAGACATCAATGTGCACTGCTAGGAGGGCGTGATGTACTTGACACCGCTCCAACACCTGCGGCGAGGGGAGCAGTGTGGACAGAGGGACAGCGTTACACAGGCTAGTCAAAAAGCAGCTTCGCATCTAAAAAATGAGAGAGGGAGGAGGCAGGGAGGCAACTATAAACTTTGTCTCTATGGGCGTGGCTGGCCGCGATCGCTGGCGCGCACGCTACATCGGCCGCCATCAGCGTGTGACTCGCATACACTTCTACATGCTGCATTCTCATTACGAAGAGACTGTGCAAGAGGTGTTGCTCTCCTTGAAGAGGCACACCAGCGTTTTGTAGTTACGTGATATCATATTCAAAAGATTTAGCTGCCAGCATCCCTTTGAATGACATTGCAATTTGCTGCTATCACATTCATTGTTTCACCCTTGCGGTGCAAGAGTGACCTTATAAATGCAAAGCAGCTCTTTGACTCGCCTGTGCAAGGCTGTCCCGTACGTCTGTATGAACCCGCTCGCCGCAGGCAAACTGGCTGTTTTTGGCAGGCTAGAAACAGTCGCAAAGATGTTTTGGAGCAGGCTTGGAGCAGCCACAAACGTCTTTTCGAGTAAGTTTAGAGCAGCAAGAACCCTCGCCGCAGGTGTTGGAGCGATGCCAAGTAAGTCAAGTCGCAGCTGCCAGCCCCTTCGCCCGCTCGCAACACACTTCTTTATAGCTTCACCCTCTCAACCACTTGCAACGCTCAACCGCACATCGAGTGTAAACACTAAACAGATTTAGTTGCATGTCCGCAGCAGCCGTACAAATGTAGCCTGCCAGCCATTCGCAATGGGTGGTTGTATCCGCACGGCTGCTGCGGATGTGCAACTAAGTCTGTCTACTCTTTCGGCTCGTTTATCTGCGATGAAATTTACATGAAACTGAACCCGCCTCCAGTGTCTTTGCGCTTCAAACAAAGGTTTACTCAAGTAAACACAACATCGAATTTCGCCTCAAACCAATCTTCGAGCACCCACGTCGGCACCCATTTCAACTGGAACAATGCCGTGCGCACAGCTGCTGCTTCGCATCTCATCATGGTTCCCTTCCGAGAGATGGTACATAATTTTTAGTTATGCACAGCTGCCCATGGTATTTAACCTGAACACGCGAGCGTCAGGCGTTGAGTCGATAAGCGCGAAGCACAGCGGCCGAATGAACAGGAATACACACATAAGCTCGATGAGCAGTGATGTGCACTTGTCTTTCCTAGGCTGTTCTGGGAACTATACACCATTCTCCTTCCTTTGAGCACCGTTACTACCTTCCTTTGTTTCTTTTCCGAATGCTACCATCATGTTATTAAAGAAAACAGCTTCACCGGAATGGCGAAGCATTGAAGCAATAGCAAGAAATTGTAAGGCTGGGTGCCAACTTCTTAAAGTTGGCAACAGCCGTACAAAACGCTGGTATAAGAGAATACGGCCTTGCCAAGGAGAGATGCTCTTCTTGCAGTCTCTTCATGTTGATAGCATAGCACGTAGAAGGGTTCACGAGCTAGTCACGCTGATGCCTGCCATGATCGCGTGTGCATAGCAATCGTGACCATGCCCTTAGGATCAAAGTTCGCGGCTGCTCCTGGAGCGATCACAGCCTGTACAAAATGTGACCGTTTCGATGAAATCCGTTTCGACGAAACCTTGCTTACGGATTTGACACTTGATGGCTTTTGCACTTTGCGGCTAAATTCTGATGCGGCGCAGTACGGCACTGACAGATGAGTTTGGGGCAGCAGGCGTGATTAGGCGCAGGATGGCGCAGGTAAGCAAGCTTGGCGCACAATGGCACAAATGGTGCAGCTGTTCCACCCCTATTTAACTGAAGTATAGCAATTGTGACATCGATTGAAAGTGGATGAAAAATCACCCTTTCTGTGACTGAGATCTAAACCCACAACCTTCAAAATGCAATGAAGCATGCACAGTGCACTTAAAAAGACTTTGAAAGATGCTGCCAGCATAATTCACGCAGCATACCATTCATCTTTAACATCAATGGAAAAAACATCTGACCACACATGCCAAAAGGAAAAGCTGACAGAAGTTGAAAGTGGTTGTAATCATATTTGGAATTAAATTTCTAATGTTTTAGTGTGTGAGTAAAGAGGAATTAAGATTTGCTTGTGGATTTTAAAAACAATGTCGTTATTAGGGAGGCTTCCTCAGCCCCAAATACACTTAGAAGTGATCTGCAAATGGTCAAAATACATTTTGGATCATCCCAAAATAGTTTGCACAAGTCACAAACACCACAATGATAGAATTTGGTGGGCGCAATATTGCACTGATCCCATAACTGGTGATTCACCTTGGAATGGTGTTCTTGAAAGCTGCAGATAGTGGTATTATGTTGTCGTGCTGAATAAGTATGATTTCTGGGGTTTCACATGCAATAAACCATGATCTTAATATGAGAAACACTGTAGTGGGAGTTCTGCATAATTTTAACCATCTAGGGTTCTTTAGCCTGCCCTAACATCTAACAGAACAAGGACCTCAAGTGCCTACCCTCCATTGAAATGTGTCTACCCACCACGGTGGTCTGGTGGCTAAGGCACTCGCTGCTGACTTGCAGGTCGCAGGATCGAATCTCAGCTGCCGCGGCCGTTTTCTTGATGGAGGCAAAAATGCTTGAGGTCTATGTGCTTACATTAGGTACACTTTAGAGAATCCCAGGTGGTCAAAATTCCCAGAGCCCTCCAGTACAGCGTTTCTCATAATCATATGGTGGTTTTGGGATGTTAAGCCCCAATAATTATTATTAGCCATTGAGATGTGACAGTCACAGCTGGCATAGAGCTTGTTTCCTTTTGGGCCAGCAACAGAGCACTGTAACCACTAAGCCACTGTAATTAATGGTCATTGTTTGTGTTAGACGAACAATGACCATGTCCAACACACAATGCATGAACAATGCATGTCCAACAGTACAGTGAAACACCAAATCAGCTAAGGCTGGCAAGTGATTCCAGGAAAACTTCATTGTCATCAACTTTTTTATGATAAGCTCGAAATGATTGTTGGGGTTTTATGCCTCGAAACCACAATATGAATATGAGAAACACCACAATAAAGGGCTTCGGAAATTTTGACTACCTAGGGTGTCTAGAGAATGTGTACCTAAGCCGAAGTAGACGAGCTTCCAGAATTTCACCAATATTGAAATGCAGCCACAGCTGCCCAGATTACAATACAACAATTCCAATTTGTGATTGTTTAAAGGTATGCTTAAAATAATTTATGTAGTTATGTAGCAAAAAATGCATTTCGTTATCAAAGTGAAAATGCAACAATACCTTGCTCGCTGATGCCTCCAATACACTGTTGAAATGTCTAGGAGACTTCTGTGGCGGAGGTGCGGGCATCAGTTCTATCCCATCATCATTCCTTGGCTCCGGTTCCAGTACATCCTGAAAAAAAATTAAAGAAAACAGTGTTTCCACTCTGCAACATTAAGTGTGCCATTATATGAAGGCCTGTTCCATTTTCATTGCACTTTAGATGTGCTTAACTGTTTCACCATGTGTACACAGCCACATCCAATCTAGGGTCTGCTTCTTTATGTCATAGCATAGTGTACTTGCTACTGAATACATATAGACGATTGAGTGGCATTTGCAAACCGTGACCATGGTTTAAAAATTGTGTGATACACCAAATCTTGCAGCCTGTCAAACCACACATAAAGCTGTAAGTGTTCTAGTCACATGCTACACAAGAAACATAGGCTAAGCAAGCACTTAACAATTTCTTCAATTGGGGTGGTTGGTACAGTACTCGCCGATTGAAACAGGACACTCGGAGCGTGTGGCCGCCAGTACATGTGCCGCCGCTCGTAGAACCAAGGTGTTCCATTGTGGTATAGAGTGAAAGGTAGAACCCCTAAGTGCAGGATTACTCCTTCAGGTTGCTAAAGAGTCGGCATTTAGCTCACAAAGTGGACACTGCCAGCATATATGGCACTGCAAAACTCGCGACATTGTTTCCATGTCGCGCGAAGGCAGGCTTGCGGCTCACTTTCTTTTATGTCGTGACTGAAGCCACAGGTAAACTTTCTGTGTTTCTATGCAGATGTTTATCATGTCTATTAACGCATGCAAGATGTAACCTTCTCTACTTCTATGCAGATGTTTATCATGTCTATGAACGCATGCAAGATGTAATCTTTCAGGTGAATCCAACGTTGCACTTGCACAGTTTGCGTACTGCATCGCCTAATTGCGCAAAACGAGAGGGTCGTCTGCTGGTGCCGCAATATAATAGTATGCAAATGCAAGCCAGTTTGGTCAACATGCCAATGTGCGTGAGCCTCGCAGCAACAGGCGGACAGTGTGCATTTTGAGAACTAAATGCCAACTTTTTAAGGTGGATGCACACGAGGGAACGGAGGAGGAATTTTCGCAGCGGGCGGCACACCACGTGACGTCTTCGTTTAATCCGCCCTCCTCCGCTTGCGGCATGGATAGAAATGTGTCACCGCTATTTCAATTCCTCCGTTTGACAGTCCTCTGCTCTCGATCGAGAGGATTCAGTGTCAAATCTGTCAATATTGGGCAGATCAGTGTGGCTAGGAAGCAGGCTACCGGCTTAAAATCGACATGTTTCACTTTTGCAGCAACGACCGAATGTGTTTCATGTGACAGTGGAAGAGGTGAGTGGTTTTTGATGGTGGATTGGTGGTTTTCATTCACAGCGTGTGGCCTGCATGACCACATAAGCGCGCTGCATAAGCACAGAAGTCGAGAGTATGCACGAGGATACCGCGAGCGTAGTTTTGGCAGTGTGCATGCGACGTATCCACTGCTGCGCCGGATGAAACTAATGACGTAACTATTCGGTCTGCGGAGCAGCAGGATTTAGCTCGCGTGTGAATCTAGTTTTAGCGACCGAAGGGAGTAATCATGCTCTGCAGGTGTTCTCCCCCTCACCCTATACCACAATGAAACACCTTCGTTCCATGAGCACCCATGAGTGACAGCCCATGCACCGGCGGCCACACGCTCCAAGTCCCCCGTTTCAATCCGCGAGTACTGTACATTTTGTTTAACAACAGAATTATTAACAGCATTACATAGGAGAAGTCTATCAACAGGGGGCATGAGGTAGAGCATTGTCACAGCTCCGTGTTCTGCATCCTTTCCTTGCAATGTGTCAGGCTGTTCATTTAGAATGCTGAACGAGCACGTAGCCATTTTCATGGTGCATCAGTGGTGGGAATGCCTTCCAGCATTTTGGGGCAGGCAATCTGTTTTGGAGCAGCTACCTTTGTGTTTGGATACACACGGGCTTTCCATGAAATACACAGAGGAAGCAAATTTGGCGTTTATTTAGTTTAATGTAGCTCAGTCCTAGAGCATCGGACGCATTATTCTATGGTCACAGGTTTGGATCCTGCCAGTGGCAAGTTATCTTTTCATCCACTTTCAATTCTCCACATTTGCATTACAATTACTTCTAATAACAACCCCAGTGCTTTCCCTGTCATTATTGTCTGTTAGTTCTCTGCTGAACATTTTATAACTGGTGCAAAACTAGGAACATGAAAATGAAGGGAGGAGACAGATGGGCACCAAACGTGATGACATGTCTATGATAACTCTTCCACGCCTCTGCACATGTGTGGAAGTTTACCTGTTTTTCAGCCTGTACCGGCAATAAATAGTTCATAGTTTGGCACCGAACTGTCCCTCTCCTCCCCTCATTTTCATGTTCCTAGTTTTGCACCAGTTACGAAATGTTCAGCAAACTGAGACACCAACTCGCCAAAAAACAGCTTCTACTGTTAGTTCTCAATAATTGCACCTAACAACAAAAAATGAGCCTTTAAATTTACACTTTCTTTTACTCAGTTTACATAATCACTTATACAAAAGCAGCAAGCCCACAAAATAAGCATAATAAGTTAACACCAGTAAGATTATGTACAGAAGCGGTGACTTAAAATAGTGAAGAGCACAGCATGAAGTTCATAGCCACGTGCACGCACATGAAAATTCAAAGCTCATTACTGTAAAACCTTATTAATAGGCACATACATGCTGAGAACCTGCCAGGAATACAGCTAACTGTCTACTAAACATTGTATGCATTAACGACGAAGTAGGTAAGTGTGCACCAGGTTCCCTTTTAGGGAGAAGGGGGGGGGAGGCAATGTTCGTTGCAGTGTCCCCCTTCCTATTATATTGTCATAAGGTCGTGACGTGGCCGAAGGGAGCAGACTGCAGGTTGAATAATAAACTGTTTTTTTTTTTTGGGGGGGGGGGGGGGGCTGAGCTTGTAGCCACGTAAAAGGAAAGTCAGATTACAGCAAGACACTGGCACTGATAGCGGTGGGCAAAGCGTTGGCCGCCGATCAACTGACAAGTGGCGAAGCCCATGGGCATTTATAGCCTTGACATCGTATATTCTAGCGTTATCGCTAGCGGCGACATAAGTTCCAGAATAATCTATAATGCTCGCGAAGTGGGTGTAATCTTAACAAAATGATCTGCTGCGCTCCCGAAGCTTTTCGAACGCTGTAGGCGTGGTTTGAGCTGAGAATTACTGACAGTGAAACGGGGCGATAAGAAAACTTGCGAGAGAATGTGGCTTGCCCCCCCCCCCCCCCCCCTGAAAAAGGCATCGTCCCCATGCTTAAACAAAAAACGAAAGTACAATAATAAAGACAATATAAACAATAGGTACAAGCAATAAAGCGCAGCACCAACAGCAAAAAAACAGTTCTCAGGTTTGCACATGAAATGGCTTGAGGCGCACAACATGGACGACTTCAGTTCGGGCACGGCGCCGTTGAGAGTTTTCGTAATGTCATCGGGAACCACCGCGTAGTTGAGTGGGCCGAGACGTTAAACTACTCTGTACAGTCCGAAGTATCGTCGCAGAAGTTTTTCACCGAGTCCACGTCAGCGTATCGGCGTCCATACCTAGACACGGTCACTGGGCTGTTGTGACACGGTCACAACAGCGCTGGGGACGTAACGATAGCAGTGGCTAATAGGGAGTTTTCGAATGGAGCACCGCGAGCCCTTGCGGTGCGGTCGCTGCCACTGCGCATGCGCCGTAACGCGAGGCGGCGTTCGCGGCCCGCACACAGCAAATCCGAAATAGCGTGCGGCGATCGCGGCCCGCGAATGCTATTCTAAAACTCATATAGCGCCCGCTACGCCCGCAGTGCTTGCAAACGGTATTTTGAAACTCCCTATTGTTACGTCTGGACGTGACGATTGTGGTGGCTATAGTTACGTCTGGACATAACTCTAGCCACACCGTATTCAAAAACTCGCTGCTTAATTGTACACTGCAAGCACTATTACAGTTCAAAACGCACACTTACCCCTGCTTTGGCCAAGTTTTCTTCAAACTCTTTCAGGAGTGCTTCACATCCGACGAGGTTTTTTCTAGGTTCCCAGGTGTCTTCACTCGGACCAAAGTTTTTCCATCTTATAAGATACTCGCCGATCTTTCTTTTGCCTTGGCGTCGGGTCCGATACTTCAGTATTCTCTCCACCTATTTCAGTTTTTTTTTTTTTTTTTAAGAATATTGCATTTCAATATTCCAGAAGAACAGCTGTCAGCAAGGCACACTGTAACGGGGAATTCAAACATGTCATGCAATGGCGCGCCGAATTTAACTGCTTACCTCATACACTTCACTCTCGTCAGACTGCGACATTGAAGACAAAATGCAGCACTTTGCAGCGAAAATGCAGCACTTTGCAGACAAAATGCAGCGTCCCAAGTTGCGTTGGTAGCCGCGTCTGCTACCACCGGGTGGCACCAACCTTTTGAGAGCCGAAACGCTCGGTTCATCAAAGCCGCTTACAACCGGCTTGACTTGGCCTAAAATGTATAAATAGACGGCGACAAAATCGCTGTGTTGGACATTTTTGGGGGACGTTTAGGTGGGAAGAACAAAAGGTCTATCGTAAGGTTCCTCACTAACTTGTGAGGATCTTTATCGTGTGGTGGTTATTTCTCCGTGGTCTTTGCTTGGCCGGGAGCCTTATGCATTCGCGAGAACCGCCTCTGCGCATGGATACGTGGTCTCGTTCTGTAATACTGTCTATAAGCAATGTGGTAACGACTTGCCCGATCATGAACACCGTGTGTTATGCTATTTGTGGATGTATGCCGTACGTATATGTCTGGTAAGTGCGTGTGTTGCGTAAGGGTCGATGTGTCGCTTGGGTGAAGTGTATGCTTGTGCCAAAACTTTCACTGAAGCTTCGTCTTGCGTAACTGCGTGAGACAGATGCGAAATGCACAAGTTGGAAGCGATGGAATATTAACAGGCGTTCACACGACGTTATTTTCCAAGTGGCTTAAATATGCTGTCGCCGATGACGATAATCGGTTTTCTAAGTTATGTCTGTTCTTGTGGGTGTACACAAAGAAAAAAAAGGAAATAAAATTGAAAGTATGCTGGGAGCACTATAAATCTCCGCTCAAAATTGCCACCTTAAGTGTCTTCTTAAAATTAAACAGTGCCGCAAAGCAGTAGTGCCTTGCGGTGAAGTGCACGCAGTGTATTGCGGTAAAGCATAAATATTGCGCGCGCTCGTGTGTAAATTGGAAATGTAGCACCGACATTAGGCCTCGTGTGTGCACCTAAATTGTACACGCGCTATCCCCTGTCTCATCAGTGACGATGCGGCAGTCAGTATCGTCATCATCTTCAGCTTGTGTAATAAGCCCAGAACAATTTACCTAGTAAAATACATTTTGTGGCAGGCAATTCGCAAGGCATTCAGATTTTAGTTCATTGCAGGATTAATTCAAAATTGTTGCATGGCACCTTCAAATAAGCGAAACATGCATATGAGAGGCTTCAGTCGTACTTCAAAATTTGTGCCATGCCTCAAATTGAAAATTATTATAAAGGAAATATATACTAAGGCTGGGTGTAGATTACCATTCACAATTCAATTACCATTCTTATTCTAGAAACTTAAAAAATTTGTAGCTCATGTTTTCCTATCAAGTAAGCACGAAAAAAACTCTTGAAGAATGGTCTACAATTACGCGCACAGTTTGCAAGAAATCTTTGAAACCTATGTCGTGCCAGAACTAAGAGCGAGGTGGTTCGAGGAAACTGGTTATGACCCGACATAATAGCGCGTGTTCGAACGTCTTACATGAGCTGCTTGTTGGCAAAATGTGGTGGTAATTAGGTAAGTACCTGCAGGGATCTGGACCAAAAGGCAAAACCTGCTACATCTTTTTCAAAAATTTCATTATTTGTGTCAAGCATGTGTGCACTCTTCATTGTTGTGTTCTCTAAGGGAGCAAGTATATGGCATGCGCTTGAAATCCATATATTACCCCTGCGATTTGGAGATGTCATCACAGTGGACATGAACTGTGCAATGTAGTTGAAAACGTTGCTGGGCACAAACTTTCTTAACAATTTGAACCCGCTTATATTACAAAAGTTACCTCGTGACTTCAGTCAAATAGTTTCTAACTGTTGTGGTTACTGTCAGATAAAAGTAATAATGAGCTAGTTCTGCTTGGAGAACAGTCTTGCTTGACTGACTGTATTAAAATACAGAAATTTAGTACCTGCATATAGAACTGACCATTTAGTTAATTTTTTTTTTAATTTGTGGTCCAATTTGTTACAGTTTACTTTCAAAATATTTCATACAGGGTGGTTAAGTTTTAAGTCCATACAGTGGGCAAATTTTATCAGCAGTATTGCATGCTGTACAATCACTGTTACTTCTAGAAAGCACAGTGTTCCACTATTCCGGTATGTCTCGGCTGGGCTTCTTGACCTCGACGACAGTACATGTCAAACAGTTTGCCAAGTGTAACTACTTACTCCCCCATAACTCTAAATTTTGTCGAGCCATAATAAATAATAGGTAGTAAGGACCAGTTACAAAACCCTTTTTTTTTATGAAGTGCTCATTAATCAGGAACCTAACAATTCTATACATAAACGATAACAGCAAACACTTCTCCACACATTGAACATTTAGGTTGTACTAATAAAAGCATTAATATAATCAGACCTCTTTTTTTTTGGAAAGTAAATACAATGCATAAAAAGTCTTACCTGTCCGTGCTTCAATATTGTAGCTAAACTATCACTGAAAGCCAGAGTCATTTGCAAATACTATGTGAATTCTCTGAAAGTGCTAGGTTGCTTAATATAAATTGTGGATGTCTGCAGAAAAGCAAAAAGCCTACATTTATGTTGAGCAGAAGTCCAAGTGAATATGCCTACATATGTTTATGAACTAGTTCCCTGTGACATGTGGTGCAACAGCTCTAGCTTAAAAGCTTCAGGCGGATTTTATGCTGCTCCAAAGAGATTTTAGTTGCTCCACAAGCTCCGCAAATGCCTTTCAAGAGTCACGTCACTGTGCTGTGAGTCTTTAAAAAAACAGGTTTGAAGGGGATGCTAAAACTTTTTTGTGAAGGGATGAGTACCAGAGATCATTACTTTATTTAAGTCTTCAATTTTATTAGGTTAGCACTGGGGCTTGCAGGTATGTTAAATGAGCATGGTCACTTGAGTAACACCTCAGAGGTCAATAATTTTTGGGTTGACAGCAAGGTATGCATGAGATAGGATTATACAAATTGCAGAAATTGAAGTAATGAAGTTGTTGAGAAGACTTTGTTAACAGTACATTTACAGGCTTCATGCAGAATTTGCTTTCTAGCAGGGTGAATTTACTTTTGCTGATGCTTCCAATGGCATCATTGCACTTCATAAGCAGTGGCTTTATGCACTGCACATGACGATCTTGTTTTTTCAAGGTTCATGTACTGATTAAAAAGTATAGGATCAAGAAACTTACATGCTGTCTTAAGGCATAATCAGGCTCATCATAGAGATAATTGGTGACATTTTAGTGAGTTGTATGTGGGAGGTCTGTGTACATAACTTCATCGCAATCTTGCAATGCTGCAGCTTTATTTGTGTAACGATTGAAGCTCCTTTTCCTGTTAAACATTCTGCCAAGCAACCAAGTTACAACAGCAGGATTGGCACTTGGGTAAAGCAGGTGGTGAGAGTGAGCTTATTCACAAGCCCTTCAAGAGCACTCACTGAAGGAACTAGTACCTATAGGACAAAAATTCCAGTGCACCAAGAAGGGCAAGGGAGGACGGTGCAGGTTAACATTTCAGGAGGGTATCTTCTAGACATCATCCTTCTCTAGCCACAAGCTTGTATGGCCAATGTTTAGCAGACTCCTACTAACATAAACTAGGTATAAATGTTGCTTCTCTATTGCAAGATGACACACCATATACCTTTTGAGAGTCTCCTCACTACAAGCCCTTACATTAGCCTAACAATATTTTTTTCTACGGTGGCCTTTTTTTGTCCTAAACAGTTGTCTCAAGCAACAATATGCACATTGTGACAGTCTAGCTGGTGCCCAGAGAGATGGCTCCAGCCATCACCATGTATACTCCCCTCAAAACGTAAGACACTGTAAAATCATAGTTTGGTGTGCGTGCATAGGACCTTGAACATGTAAGCAGTGACCACTTCTCTTGTGTTCTCTGCTCTGGCTCATGCTTGTCACACACCTGTTCAAGATTTTGACAGAGAAATCAGTTCTGGCAGTGCTGTCTCAGAGGTAAGACTGTGATACCCACAGGAACACCATGGTTGAGCGAGCAGAGATTCGTATCAAATGTAGTAATAAACTGGCAACACCATGGTGATATAAGCACACTTGAATTAATTTATTGCATTAATTTATTGAGGCAGACATCGCACCGCTAAGCCCAGCTGTGATCTCTTTTCGTTATTGTCTACATAGTTTTCCCATTGGTCTCAACACAGGAAGAAAAATTTTTTTGTGGGGGCACTATATCTTAAGCTTGCATGACTCCAATGAAGCACTGTGCGAACAGATATATTGGAAATGTCAGCACTTCGTGTCCTATAAATGGTGAACTGGTTGTCACATTCAGCCGGTGATCCTGCAGGAGCGCTAGGATATACTCTAAGGTCATTTTGCATCAACAATGTCACATACAATAGTTTAACAATGGTTGCTAATGGGCAAGAGGGTGCATAGCTTCAGGGAGGTAATTAAGTTAAGGGGGAAAATTACACGAAGTTTATTGACGTTTGGGCACCCGATATTGTTCTGAATGACAGCCATGAGAAAGGTACATCGTATTTAAGTATGACTAGGTACAGTATGTAAGCACCAAAAGTATATGATCAGCGTTCCATAAATCTTATTTAGGATATGTGCAGCTGTGTGCATGTGCAGGGATTCCAGGTGCCGGCATGATGCAAGCTTGTTTTCTTCGACCAGAACACGGTTACTTGACCAGTCAATTTGAAAGCCTGTATATTCCACATGTTCAGCGAGGGCATTCAAGGCCGCCCATGATTTGGTGACTTCATATTCGTGTTGTTTAACTGTTTCATTGAAATCACAGGTCTCATAGACTGACATGTTGTCACACTCGTGGCAGACTACAGTGTAAACAATACTACGGAAATTTCCGCTCGGCAGCTTGTTCTTCCCATTGACTAAAGCATTCCTTAGCTTCCATGTTGGTACATGCACTATTTTGATGTATGTTCCTTTGACATATCACATACCATATCTGACTTTCCAAGCACAGCATTTCTCACATAGGTAAATTTGTGCATATTTATCGTGGCCACAATTTCAGCTTGGCTTGAAGGCCTTTTAGTTAGGTGCCTATGTTAGAACTGCCATCACAAGAGGTTTGCTGGGCTATGTCTTGCCTTTTATAATATTACTGCTATTATTATTATTGGTGATGCTGCTGCAAACGTCCTCTGCTATGCACTTATTGCAGATATTTCAATAGTAGCGCACTCTCTTCTCATTTAATTTTTTTGAGATGGTGTTATTAAATCCATGAGTATTTTTTAGCATTATGTTCATAGAAGAGTACGTAAACGAAGGTAGCACGAAGATAACCAAAACGCGCAACTTAGCTTCACAAAAAAAGCCTACTGGCTTTTTCAGCTTGTCTTTGTTGTACATAGCATGGTCACTCCTCACAACGGTGTTCATGCTGTCTGAGACACATCTGGAAGCTAAGTTGCGTGTTTTGGTTCCTGACAAGGAAGGCTTCTTTTTAACTCTAGATGGCTCTATGTATAATGACAAGGTAGCCACTGGTTTGAAAAAAAGCTGAATAAATCATTTTCTGAGCAACTGCAGCCAATCAATTTATGTGAATGGACACGCATCTTCACTTTCACATGTAAAGTCTGGTGTTCCCCAGAGATCAATCCTGGGACCAGTTTTGTTTCTCATTTACATCAACGACATTGGACATGGTTTATCATCTACTGTCAGATTATTTACATACAACTACATCATTTATAGAAAAATTGACAGCACCCAAGCTGACGAGTCATTATAGTTGGACCTTAATAAACTCGCTTTTTGGTGTCACCAGTGGCAAATGCAAATTAACGCTTCCAAATCAAAGGCCATGACATTTACAAGAGCACATAAAACAGGAATGAGTCGATATGAAATTCAAGCTGTCCCCATTGAAAAAGTATCCCTGTTTAAATATCTTCATTCATTTATCTTCTGACCTATCTTATAATAAGCGCATCGATATCATAACTAGTGAGGTGTCAAAAGCACTTGGATTTATTAAAAGAAATCTTTAGTTGGTGAACTATACCATTAATATGCTAGCGTAGACTACACTTGTCCGTTCAAAGATAGAATATGCATCCATCATCTAGAACCCACATCAATCATATCTCATCGATTAACTAGAATCAATACAAAATGAAGTAGCAGGATTTATCACCAAGTAGTATTCTCGCAACTGCAGCACTACAGATATTACACACTCACTTTCATTACCCCTTCTTCAAAAACGCAGACTGTCGTCACTGTTGTTGCATTTTCATACATTTTATCATTGAAAATCTGCCTTCATTAAGCTTGCACAAACACACCTCATAATATTTTGAAACATATTGATCACCAATTCAAAATACAGCCTTTTTTGGCATACACAATTATGTATCAACACTCACCATCACTTCGAAGCACACATCACTGGAACACACTGCCGGGTGACATCGCTTGACTCATTGATCATGCCGCTTTTGTAAAGCAATTCAATATTTTCTTGGACATATGGCTTACCTATCTGTCTGAGTGTGTAAGTGCATGTATGTGCTTATTTGTACTCTTCTTTCATTGTAAATATATTTTCTTCTTAAAGATGATAGTCTTGCTTGGGATACTTCAACACAAAAATTTTGGTCTGTCTGTCAGCAAAAAGGCTCAAGTACGATCACATCCACAGCATCCACCAGTATTGCTCAAGTATCTGCGTTCATACTTGTACGATTGTCGATAAAAAGCAAATATTGAGTATATTTGAGGCACAACATCAACACGTCGATATTCTGCACTGTGTTTCTTTATACTAGAAAAGGCATAAATAAGTCATTCTAAACACTGCAGCTGACAATGCGATGCTTCGCACGAAAAGGCGAGTCTCCTGCACTTTGCTAATACGATACTGTGCTGCTACCTATCTTGAAATCTACAAAATTTGGCCTCCAAGATTGCACGCATGCTGCGTGCTCTCTATAACAAAGGCCATCGTTTAGTTTTTTGAGATTACCGCCAGATGGCGCTCATGTCTCACACAACACTCCAGGATCCCATTCACCAGTTTTCTCGTGCAAAACATCAAATAAATATTTCATTCTATTCACTCTTTTAAGACGAAAGACAATAGTCTTTCGATGACATTTTAGTCAAATATGCAGATACAGAGCCAATTTTTTTCATGGCAATTTTCTGTATATATTTTTTTTTGCACTATAGCTGTGTCTCTCTTATTGAGTTTTTATTCCTGCCACAATTTTTTTTTTCTCTTTTGCATATTTGTCTATGGAACTGTATTTTACTTTGTTTACCATTTTAACTTTATAATAACAGTGTTCTGATTTGCAAATTTATTGTATAACTAAAACCCCCTCTGTAATGCCCGAATGGGCCTTCAGGGTATATATGAATAAAAAAAGTGTTGATGCAAAAAGCGGGCGACTGAATGAATAAGTTTGTGCCCTGTTACTGACGCTTAATCGGGAACGAGTAGCGGCAAGTGTGAAAAAAGCAAAAAGGCAAGAACTATCAGTTTTTATTTCAGTGAAGATTCATGTTGCCACTAAGAGCTGTTGTTTCAGAAAAAGACACTTGGTAAATAAATGTTTCAGAGTATCTTTAAAGAAATTTGGAGCATTTGAAGACTTGTGATCTAAGAATTTCCAAGTCAGAATCTGTCATCTTTTCACTAAGTGAACAACCTTCTTTGTGCCGCAGCACATTCGGTATAGACGTAAAAGATTTATATTATTGTTTGCCTTAATGTGAAGATTTGAAGTGTATAAAGCAGTGCATAAGAGAAGATAACGATGAGTTGTTGTTTCAGTGCCAGTGTGGCATCTCTATTGCGTCGGTTTTAGAGCTCATGCAGGCCACCTAAATTCTACTGTTGTGTCTTAGAAGGGAAATAATTTTGTCCAAAAATCTGGCATCTGGATTGAATCATGAATATACCTGTAATTAGTTATATTTACTTGGTTATGTAGACGGGCAGCTGCAAAAGCATTTGAATTGGTTATCATCACACGCTGTATGATATGTCCATGACTTCTTAGTTCTACTGGACATTAATAATAGCTCTCTACTGGTTGCTAATATAAAGAAAGATGTTAAAGAAAACGGGATGTCAGTATTTCACTTTGGATTTGCTAAAAATTCATGAGCTACAGTTTCTCGATTTAAGACAGGCTTTCGTCAAAGATCACATTTATAGCAATACCAATCTAGATTCATAAAGCCAATTCTGAATTTTAATTCTGGCCACTCAAAACCATACAGGGAGCCATTGCGTTAACTTTGCTGGGTGCCTCTCTTCAGAAGTTACGCGAGCACCTTATGGCGCATGCATTTGATACACAAGTTGCTCGCCTTGCAAATTCTGGCTTTCCGGGTGACGTGATTTGATCCTTGTCGGAAAAACTTATTTCAAAGATCGAGAAGTTTTATCATTGTGATTCTAGTGCACCAGAAATTAGCAAGAAAAAGAGGCAGGCAGTTATCCCATACATACACAGGATAGCACATAGTTTGAAAAATGTTGGTGCTTGTTATTGCATAAACATGTCATTCTCAGCACGTAATAAAGTGCATAATGTGTGTACTTTGGTGGATAGAGCATTGTGTCAGCAGCCAGGGAAAGGAAACAAACGTGTCTCCAGTCATGTCCACAGATATGCTCCTTGCACTACTGGCGTGGTTTATGGGATTCCACTGTCTTGCAGCTGCAAATATTTAGGTGAAATGGGGTGTTACATAAACGTGCGCTAAAGAGAGCATGAGCTAATGCTATCAGATGCTAAAATCACGTCTAATTTGGCAGCTCATTGTAGGCCATGTGGATGTGTGCTCAGGGCTGGGCAGAGATGCCCGAAAAAGTATTCTGGAATACAGATATCGAAATGCGTGGTTTGGAAGCCTAAAATACAGATACTGAGATAAATTTGTAATTCATGTGACAGGATTTCAGAGATACGTTTGCAAAAAGACAAAAAAGTATTCCAGAATACATATACTAAAATACTTTTGTCTATGTCGGGGATAGTTATACTCCATACAAACATTTCTTATGTGCAGCATAATATTTAAAATGTGTAGCACATTCAAACTTGCAAATGAAATTGATTTATTATATTTTCGCCATTCTCTGAGTGTCATTAAGGCATTACAAAGGATGCTTACGTTGCACATAATTGTTAATAACCACATATTTACATATATCAGTTGCAATAAAAAACTATGCCATATGAGAGCATCAGTCACACGCATTGTACACTGAAACACGGAACTCAACAGCAACAGTATTAGTTGTGCTAGAAGGAGCATAGTTCAAGCGAAGTGCTGGAACTATAAACAAACGAACTTCCAGTTGAAGGTTTAGTGTTTTCTAGAAATATCTTAGAAAAGGCAGAAAGAATTAAGAACGGACAAAACAAGGAATGCGAAAGGAAACTCAAGAAGACCTCTTTCGAATCGCTGTTTGGCTATGCTGGCGTTTTTCAGGAATGCTCTGCAGAAAGAAGTATCGTAGATGGCCCACTGCACCAAATTTTTTGGGTGGTTTGTGGCTTCCGCAATAAGCTTCAGTTTTTCAAATGAGCGCTGCAAAAGAAAAGTGGGAAAAAAACGAGAAAAACAATCACTACTCGTTCAATTGGCATGGAAATACATTTAAAAAATGGCGCCCATTGTGCAGTATACAATACTCCTCACAATAAAAATATCTGCACTGGAATTCAAAATAGCAGTGTAACATTGTTGTCACGCTGAAGCAGGCCATCATTCAAACACATTCCAGTTCTGCCTGAAGGAGCACAATGGGATGCGGGTAGCAAAGCAACTAGCTCGCTTTCAAGAAGGTAGGAGTCAGTTTCGCCCTCAGCAGAAATGTAGAAATGGTGGGTGCATATCTTGCCGTGGACTGCCAAGGTCACAGCAGAATTTTTTTTCCCCATTGTCAACACGTCTCAGCTCATTTACGAAAAGAAAAGTAACGGGATACCCGTGTCCTGGATAGTATCGCGATACATGGGATACACCGTAAAAGTATTTCACTACTGAGATACAAATACATTTTTGAAAAGTGCCTCGATACAGCAATACAGACACTCAAAAGTATCTCTTAAATACTATTGCGATACTATCCAGCCCTGCGTGTGCCCCACTTGTAGAAAACAAATATCAAATATTGACATGTTGATTAGCGCATGTGTGAAGTAGCCGAAGCATTTTTCATTAGATCTAACAACAAGTGCATAAGTATGGGGGGGGGGGGTATTGGCGTCTTGGTTATGAAGATTTCGGCTTCGATATATGGGGCAACAAGCGCGGAAAGGTACCGGGTGCGATCTCCCACTTTCCGTGTGAGGTCGAAACTTTTTCCCCGCAAAACATGAAGGTAGTGCGTTACGATGCTGTCAATCTTGCATTGAATGTCGTAGACTTTGCGTTTGGTAGGGAGTGTTCTATCTTTGTTACGCAAAGCTTGCTACCACCTTTTGAATCGCGCCGGATTTCTGCGGAGGTCTGTCACGGTCAACATTAATTGGCTTATACTCCAATCAAGACTAAATGATGGCATGCGATGATTCATTCACTACGCCTGATTTAAAAATTCACATGGTCTCAAATTGTTTCGCTCGTCTGGTCACTCCCCCGGGTTATTTTTATTCGAGGTTAGAACTACCTTTCAAAATGTACTTTGATCATGCTCTCAAATTAAGTTGTAAGGTAAACGACTGTCTCTTTACCTATACTTTTATTTATAATGTTTATGCGCTGTATAATATTTGAGCGTGATAGCGTTAACAAGCTCGTTTCCCAGAAATTCCGGTGTCGAAGTCGCTGTCAGTGTCTCCGGTTGTGAGCGAGAAAATATCATCTTGTCTGTGACAAAAAAAAAAAAATCAAGAAACCTGCCAATAGAATAAATAACAAAAGAACTTCAGTTGTAGTGAGAAACGAACACAGGCTACATGCGTGGCAGTCAGGTGCTATACCACAGAAGTACGCCGATTGTCGAAACTGATCCGAAAAAAAAAAAAAAACTGAATTTCATGTAGTACTAAGTTCTCATTATTACTCTGTACCCAGCCAAAAAAGCGAGGCCTTATGTTTACACTTCTTTTGTTCATGTAGTAGAAGTAATTCCTTCAATATTAAGTGGTAGAAGCGTAGAATTGCGTCAAGTGTATAAACATGCAAAATGCCCAACGAGTGGTTGAGTAAGGCCCAGCGATTACAGGGCGCTCAAACTTATGTCCGCGTGTTGCTTTGCGCACACGTAAAGGCCCCTTTGCTGATTCACAAAAGGAACAATTATGACGCAGTGGACACTTTGCAACTTCCAGTGGACGATATGGCGCGAGCACGGAACGACGACAAAGAGACAAGAAGGACACGAGCGCTAACTTCTAACTTCTAGTTGGAAGTTAGCGCTCGTGTCCTTCTTGTCTCTTTGTCGTCGTTCTGTTCTCGCGCTATAACTATCGTCATGTCCTACCAACTAGCCCAAACTGCCACACTTCTAAGTTGCAGTGGACATTCTACAATATACCGTAGAATGTCCACTTCAAACTATGGTTTAAAACTATATAGTTTGAAACAGCCCGTGTTCCACACACAGTCATTCGTTCCCTCACGGCACGGTTGAGGCATGCACCGAGACCGATGCTAGGCTAGTAATTCAGGTGATTCGCACAGGGCCCGGTTACATTATTCCGATCTACTCTTGAAGGCGAAGCTCAAGTGTCCTCCAAGTTTGGTAATTGTTGGAGGTTAGAACTGCCCTTCTGAGTGTACTTTGATCGTTCTCTCCAATTACGTTGTAGGATAAACGACTGTCTCTGCACCTCTAAACCGGCTCTTTGTAAGTGTTGTGTAATTGTTGTCGCACAATATATATAATATTCAATGGCGTCACCTCTGCCATATTTGCCAATTGCCACCGCATGTAATAATAATAATAATAATAATTTTTATTTGCACACAATATGCAAGGAGACAGCAAATTTGCTCACGGTCGCTCTTCTGCAAGCCCACCACCGCTGGTCGAAAGAGATCGTGGAGGCTACATATATATGAGGTTCTCAAGCTGCTTATAGCAGCTATTATGTTGGTCCACGGCACTGTGTAACCATGTTTACAAATAAAATAAAATAATAAATAGGCAAACGAACTAACAAGTTGCGTGAAGCGGAGTCGTCATTGCGGTCGCCACTGTTGGAGCCTGGCGCAAATTAAGCTAGTCCGCGTACCTCAATGTAGATAAATCTGCTTATTCTCGCCACGCCTCACTCATGACAAACCCGTTTTGTACAATAAATTATGCAGTACCAAAAACAGTCCAAGAAGTGACGTGGGAATACAGCACACCATTCGCGGTAGCCGCTTGCACGTCGCCGCCGATCACAACAGCTTGGCGCGCCCCGGGCCGCTATAGAGAAAAATTAGAGTTACTGTATATGCTACCTTTAGGTAGCATATACGGTAACTCTAATCACTCTATAAATATAGTTATTCTAATTACTCTATAACTCGTATACAGTAACTCTAAAGAAAATTGTACTGCAGCGCCACTATAGTTCTTGGGACATCCACGCGGCCCGCCTCACCGGCGGAGCTTTTAAACCGAGTTTATATATAGTAACGTTGATGCCAACCTGTGGAGCCACTTTTTCCCTCTCTGGAGTAAGAAAAAAAATTCTAAGATTTCCCTAGAATTTTGTGGAGAGCGGTTTTTTGAAGACTAATGTGTTTGTGCTGTGGAAAACGATGTCAAAGTTCACTTTTATGGTATAATGGTGCATTCGTTTGAAAATATTCACTCAAATCACTGTGCTGAAGGTGTAAAATGTCGCAGTAAAATTGCAAAGCGTTAAACAACATTTTATCGCGTGATATCACAAAGGCAAAGCGGTCATCACAGGGGGGGGGGGGGGGGGGGGCATGTATAGCAGTGTTTCATATAAATCACCAAGAAAGAAGCGATTATTCCGTCTACACACAACCATACAATTCAAGAAACAGTACCAATTGCATTGCGTATAGGCCGAAGAAGGGATAAATTATCAAAATAATGCCCTGCCGCGGTGGTGTAGTGGAAGGTATACTCGGCCGCTGACCCGCAGGTCGCGGGATCGAATCCCGGCTGCCGCGGCTACATTCTCGATAGAGGCAAAAATGCTGTAGGCCCGTGTGCTCAGATTTGGATGCACATTAAAGAACCCCAGATAGTCAAAAATTTCCAGAACCCTCCACTACGAGCGCGTCTCTCATAATCATATGGTGGTTTTTGGGATGTTAAACCCGACGTATCAGTCAAATTATCTATATAATATTTAGGAACACTGCTAGCTGCTAAATTCAAAACACGGAATATATTTATTTTACACTAGTGCACTTGTAATACTTTCAAGAAACAAAATAATAACAATAATAATAGTAATAATAATAACCAAAAAGCGCAGTACATGAAATAATCCGGCGAACAAGCTTAAAAAATATTTCAATTCTGTTGTTCTGTATTTATTTTGCTATTCTGTTATTTCACAACTCTCCTGCAGAAAACGCTTATATAAAACATGAAGTGATGCATGCTTACATAACTTATAAACAATAATGTCTTGAAAAACGTACGCTCAAGCTTTGTCATGATGTTTGATACAGGATCGAAAAATAGTTTAATCATGAAAGCGTATTATGCCAGTTGGCAGTTCATTCCTCGCAACCTGCTGAATGGTTGCGAAAAGATATGTTTATTAGAAATGTTGACTGCCATGGATATATTCCAAAAGGATGGAAAGGTGGGCTAGATGGTAATTCATAATTGTTCAGCGAACCGGGAGTGCGGGAGGACGAATCAAAGAGGAGGAACACAGCACGAGTGCTCGTGCCGCTGCATATATTCGCTTCAAATATGTCATTGCAGTCTTCCACCAGCCACTTCTTTTTTTCCAACTTTTTTTTTTTTCCGGCTGTGGAAATAACCGCATAGATCCAGGCTACTGATCTGACCGCGTTTTTCACAGAAACCTTGGCGGACACGAATGGCTCCACGGGGCAGCTCACTAGCCGTGTGACGGCGTTTGCAAAGAAGGGAAACAGGTAAAAAAACAAACCAAAGAAATAACGCCGTGGGTGAAAGGCGAGAAAATGGGAGGTTGCTGTAAAGGAAAACATATCCTGGGTGGGCTCGGGAGGGAGCACTTTTCTTTTCTCTTTGGTTCAAACCGGGATTCAGGCAATCGACGTCGAACACGTACGGACAGCACAGAATGAACCGCAAAGAAGTGGCGGCGAAGAAGAGAATGCTGACACAGCGTTAAAGGCAGACACCGGCCCTGTCGCCCCCTTGCACCTCTGTAAAAGAGAAAAGGTGGAAGAAGGAACAAAAAAAGAGGTTGTGGGCGGGAGGTCCCTCTGCCGATCTGATTGCTTCACGTGGAAGCCAAAAAATTTATTGAGAAGTTTCCCTATACCCTTAAAGGAACACTGACATCAAATTTACTTATGCCAAGATTTTTGCGTCAGCGAGTAGCTAAAGCCCCCGTAGCGGCGATTCGCGACATAAAAACGCAACTGAGGGGTGAATAGCTATAACTTTTATTGGTTTATATTACTGGGATCTAGCACTATTCAAAAACATCCGGCAATCCCGCCATTTTTAGCGCTGGGAGCACCAGCAGTGGCACTACCTCGCGGTCACCTCCAGATATGGAGGAAGGGAGTTCCTAACCCACGGAGGAAGGAAAGGTAGAAGAGGCCCTGACGTCACTCGTTGTGAAGCCGCGATGAAGCCGGAAGTCAGCCATACTGACTGGGCAAATTCTCCTCTCTTGTTTATATCCGAATGTAAAGCAGAACGCACGACTCTCTCTCCGGCTCGGAAAGCACGTGAGCTGCGCAGCGTGCGTGTCGTGACGACCCGAAACTAATGGAACGGGGCTCAACACTCTGGGCCAGCGTGACACGTACCTTCGGTGAAATCATTTCGTCCGAGTATTAACAGCAAGTAACAGCTCACCGACAACGAAGCAAGTACAAGAAGAGAACGCGCGCTAGATGCACTGACAACGGTGAGTGTTTTCATGTCATTAACTCAGCAACTGTACAGACAACACGATTGGTCCTGTGCCTTCTACAGTTGCATTCCACTACGCGGCTGACGCAACGTCTGGCCACTGTGTCCGTGTTCCGCGTGAAACTCATCGGCGTCAGCATTCTGTGACCGTGGTGACTTTGAGCATGGTGCAAGTGACACTTGAACGCGGTTGCTGTTACGTTGAGATTACATGCAATGCTTAGGAAGAGTATACGAAGCGGAACAGAAAAGGTGTTTTAATACGCACATGCAAGTTGTTACTGTACACACACAACATGAAACTACGTATATGCACACGGTCCTCATTGCGTCTTGCTTGGCTCAACAGAGTCGTCCGTTGTCACAAGCAGGAGCACCGCCCAACCGTCACTGACCTGCAAGGCGTTCGTCGTCGTTCCGCTTCGTCATGGTGCCCAACACAATTTCGCTGAACACTGATTGCTTCATTCGCGTCATCCGCCGCACGACATATGGATATGCACTCGTTCTACGCACTGTTGAAACCCCGTTATGGACAAAAGATATTGTAAATGTTGCTGAGAGTACAGTAACTCCCAGGAGAACACTGAGTAAACAATAACGTGGCGCAGAGCACGGCACGGCTCAGCACGAGACCTGGGGAGGCACACATGCCACCGCCAGCCGCGGCCGCTCACTGCTAGACCAGCTCCACTCCGCAACACGTAACCATAGCAACGCCGCCATTGTGCCCAGTGAATATGGCCGCCATGGTGTCATTTCCTCCACACTTCTCACGCAGCGCGCCGGCTGGGCATGCCCTCTCCTACCTTTCCTTCCTCCGTGCACTAATCCATGACGTCATTGTCACTTGATGTGCCATCCTCGCCTATCCTACGCGGATTTCTCCTTCGTGTGAATCCCGCTTTCAACACCACAAATCAACCATGGTGTCAATTCTCTGTAACATCAATATGTCATGTAATCAGTGCTCTTCTTGGTGCCATTTGACACAGTATCTACGAAAACGAGTTCTGGGCACTTCCAAACAAGTAAGCTAGGTTACTTTTCTTGGAAGAGATGAAAGCATAAGATATAATCATCAAGCAATTTCTTAGAAGAGTTGGTGTGGAGAGGTCAAGGCACCCCCCCCCCACATAATTCACGCCTATAATGAATAAATATTGAATATTGAAATGATGTATGAACGACACTGCTTTTGAATACCTGTGAGTAGATGTGAACATGAACGTGAATCCAGCCGAGGCTGATAATAATACTTAAGATGACTACATAGTACCTTAGGTTGGCAAAAGAAAATGGAAGTCACCCAAGAAATGAGACGTTTTTTTTTTTCTAAAAGAGCCAAATGCAGAAACCAAAATTAGGCTAAATTTCAGTAGAACGTAAAGCGTGCCTAAGTATCTTCAATTTCTAGAACAGTTTTAATACAAATGGGGCAATTCTTTAGTGTAACATGAGCTCGAAAAGGTAGTTTCTAATAAAAAATGATCCAAGTACTCCAACTGTTTCCACCAAATTGAGACACATTTAGTAACCCAGCTCTGCGCCAACAAACATGATCGAAATAACCAACATGGTCCCACCCAAAATGTTTCATTTGTGCCTTAGTTGCTTTGTTATCGTGTTTACGTTTCATAATTAGGTTTTCTAGCATGAGTTGGCACTTATTGAAGGACGTGATGTTGATGACAAAACTCGGTAGTAAAGAGTAAGAGGCTGATTTGCGTACTTATTTTTGCATCTCATTGATTCTTTGATTCTTTGCGACGTTAGCGCAACAGTATCTTGTCATCAGTTGACTACTACATGGTATGTATATATATATATATATATATATATATATATATATATATATATATATATATATATATATATATATATATATGGCATAAAACTAACTGAAACACTTTTTAAAGGCCTTCATTTGATGTCAGGAAGAAGAAAACGCTGATGACAGTCCAGAATAGTGCCCAGGAAGGACCACTTGCTCTCCAAGTCTAGTACTCTCCATTACGCCCACGCGTCGAAGCATGGTAGTGACGGAAGCACAAGTATGATGTCAATTTTATCGCGAAATATTGCTATACCGTGCATTCGAACCGTTTTACACTAAGTTCACTAACTAATTCATGTCGAAATGAAATGCTTCAATCTGTATGAGCCAAATGCAAACTCCACTCCCCAATACTGACGATATTTGGCTATGTAGATTTTAGCCACATAATAGATTTGTGGTATTTAGGGGAGAGAAACATACTGGCTAAAACTTATACGAGCAGGCCCAACCATATTTCCAGCAGAAAAAAGTGCGCTTTTCTCGGTTTTATTTAAAGTGCATTTAACTCT